TATGTTTTATCAAAAGGAAGGTTTAAAAGCCAGACTTAAACACAGAGAGGGTGTCTGCCTCCTAAACTGAAACTGGGAATGAGAGGAGAGGAGCTTGATAGCTGAAAACTCTGGCTCCTACTCTACTTTTAAAGAAATTTTGGGATGACAAGCAAGCCTAACTTCTGGGTGATGTGGTTCTATGAGCTCTTTAATGTATGTTGGTGCCATATTATTAAGGGCCTTGTAAGTGAGGAGGAGAATTTTTAAATGTATTCTCCATTTAACTGGAAGCCAGTGTGGTGAAGTTACTGCAGGTGAAATCTATTTTCCCGGTTCTTGGTCAGGACACGTGTTGCAGCTTTTTGGACAAGCTGCAGAGTCTTTAATGACTTACTGCTGGAGCCTGATAACAAGGAATTACAATAATCAAGTCTATGCGTAACAAAGGCGTGCATGTTGTCAGTGTGTGTCTTCTGTTGGAAGCAAATATATGGTAAATAAAATTGATGCCGAGCACAGAACCCTGAGGGACCCAGTGAATAGCCTTGGTGTGCACAGATGACTTTAATTTGAACAAATTGGAATTTGTCTGATATATAATATTGAAACCAGCTTAGACTGGTTCATTTAACGCCAATGAACTGTTCCAGTCTCTGTTGTAGGATGTGATGATCGTTCGTTTCTAATGATCTAACAATACGAGGACAGAGACAAACCCTTGATCTGAAGGTCATTTGTGACTATAGACAAAGCTGTCTCTGTGCTATGATCACCCAGAGTGAAAGTCTTCATATACATAATGGTTCCGAAGAAAGCCACAGAGCCGCACAGCTAGCAACAACCTTCTTAACAAGAAAGAGGAGGTTAAATATTGGTCTGTCTTTGGCTAAAACCTCCAGGTTCAGGGTGGGATGTTTGAGAAGAGGTTTGATTATTCTGTCTGGGATTACTTGATGAACTGGAGTTAAACATTGCTGTTACTCCCCCTCCTCAGGGGCTCTGGAGCCATGTGGATTCTGATTCTATTTGTATGATTGTATGATTATCATTAAAGGGACTAGATTAATTCAGGATGATGTATATTTCGGGATGCATCCAGGTCTCAGTGAGAGACAGTAAATAATGCAATCTGAGATTAATTCATTTAATAAAACATGACTTGATAGATTTACATTTCCAAGCAGTCCAGTATATCTTTGCTGATATGCATGATGATATATGTGACATTAGCAGTATAACATTTTTTAATTTCTACAAATGTTTTATCATTTGATGTATTCCACACTCAAAAGATGACGATTACTTATTGTTTCATATTGTAAATCCTATGTGAACATAGGAACATGTTATGATTCTTATTGTTATTACTATTAAATGATTCTTAATTGTGTTTTATGTCATTGTTCATGACAATTACATAATAATCATACAATGCAGCTGAAAACATGTTTAATCTTAATTTATTCTGCAGAGAATGAATATGACTGCAGTTCTTTCTTACCCATCTGCACGATACCATCTTACTGCCAGCTTCGATTCAACAAAGGTAACAATCATGTTTTTTATCATAAATACTGCTGTAAAAGTGAATTACTATATCGTTAGACATTCTAACAAGTGCATTATTAAATTAATAGTAATAAACGTTGATGATCCTGTCGTCTTTTTTGTCACTCAGACGATGTCCGGGAGCTTTCAGACACACATTGTTACCATATTCAGTATGATGCCTCTGAGAGGACAGAGCTCCACACTCTGGACTCTGTGGCTGCACAGCATCAAGACTATCACCTGTTCAAATCTCAGGATCCCAGCAGGAACATGGCCTATCCTGCTCTGCATCAGGACACAGGAGGAAATGGAGGTACTTTATCAGCTGTCCGTCTGTCTCTGTCTGTGTGTGTGTCTGTCTGTGTATTTGTGTGTGTGTGTGTGTGTGTCTCTGTGTGTTTGTCGATGTGTCTTTGTCAGCCTTAACATCTACAGGTGTGTGGTTGAAGTCAAAATGAAGGCCAAGTTTGAAGATGGATGATGTCCAACCCATGAGTACTGAGCACTGTACTGTCACAAGATGGTCTAGAGGCTCAAATCTTTATTTTATTATTTATTTGGTTCTGAAACTGTTGTTAAATCCGAATCCTGTTTTGGGGTTAAATTGTTCTAAAAATTGAGTTGAGCTCAGACAGTTTTTGGTATTGACATATCCAAGTTTAGTTCCCTGACCCATACCCCATCCTTCAACCACGTTTTGTGTTAATCTGTCCAAACCAAGTAATATTCAGAGGTAAGAACAAAACATTGGCAGAGGCAAGACAATAAAAAAAACATGCCTTGATCATTTTGCATACACGTGGTGAATGAATTGTACTGATGAATCCAAGATCACAATAAAATAGAAATCTGCTTTTCACCTGAGATCTACAGAGCTCGTCTCTATTGGCTCATAATTTGGATTATATGTCCCCAAACTGCTCTGGGCTTAGGCCTCGCTTGATTTGTTCTCATAATTTCGATGTTTTCATGATTTGATAATATTAATATTAACTGTAATTGACTGTATTTATGTGGCGTGTTTACAGCCTTACAAACCCCTCTATGCCCCACCTTTTTCTCCTATTCATATTTGGCGCAGCTTTGACTCAGGATGTAGAGTGGGTCGTCCACTAACTAGAAGGTTGGCGATTCAATCCCAGTGTCCTTGAACCCCAAGTTGCTCCTGGTGGCTGTGCCGGTAGTGTGTGAGTGAAACAGTGCTGGAGTGTATATATGAATGGAAGTGGAAAAAATCCATGTAACTACAGAAACATACATATTATATACACTGTCGGCCATAAGGTGCAATTTGGACACACACGAGGAAACAGGATTTCAACCACCAACCTTCTGATAAGTGGACGACCCTCTCCAACTCCAGAACCACAGCCACACTAAACACTTACAAACTCTGATGTTGAAAATGAATTTGTATATATATGTAATTTCATGTATCAACCTCACTGTGGCTTCCACAAGCTGTTTTCCATTTTATCACCTGCGAGTCTTACAAACTGCTTCAGTCCTGTTCTCTCCTGTATTTGTAGAGACAGACTCAGAGGTGGAGATCGTTCATAGTGACGATTCTGACATTGCGGACGCTCTGTCGTGGACCACTCCGCTCCAGGATATAGACCCAGTCGTGGCAGAGACCATGTCTGAAGATGTCTTTACTTTACCGCAGACACACAGGAGCTTCAAGGACTATGTCGGCAACAAAACCGACCTGGGCAGAGCTGTGATACCAGCAGCCGTCCTCGCTGGTTACACTGGTGAACACTGATATCAGCATCTACATAGATAGATACAGACCATTTAATAGATCGAATGTGTTGTATCGTGGACAGATTGGGTTCAGTTGTAGATTTGCTCAGCTGATTCTTCCCATCGTGTTCGTACAGGAAGTGGCCCCATTCAGCTGTGGCAGTTTCTCCTGGAGCTTCTGACAGACCGGAGCTGTCAGTCGTGTATCAGCTGGACAGGAGATGGGTGGGAGTTCAAGCTGACAGACCCTGATGAGGTAACTGCACGATGCCTGTGGGTTTACACAACATTTCAAGAGGGGAAATACAGTACTTATATTTTCTTTCTGTTGTTCTCATAGTCCAATGACGTCAATATCAGGTTCAGGTAAATGTGGGATTTATTTAGTTGTGCTCAGCGGATTGATTGCCACAAGGTGGCTGGCTGCAGTATAGATAATAAGTCCTGCCTCCTCTATGTTAGTGGATGGAACATGGGCCAAACTTGATTCAAGATCCTATTCTGAATGAACCAATAAATCACCTCAACAATACTGTGTTCCGATTACTACATTTAATTTACTTTACTAGTACAATTCTGTTATTCATTACTTTATTGCCGTCTGAGAAGAGGTAAAGGAAAAGCATGTAGCAGTTCCCTGTTGTTGTTTTGTGGTGTTAAGGTATTGCTCTGTCTCCAGGTGGCGCTGCTGTGGGGCCGGAGGAAGAACAAACCCAAGATGAACTATGAGAAGCTGAGTCGCGGTCTGCGCTACTACTACGACAAAAACATCATACGCAAGACGGCGGGTAAGCGCTACGTCTACCGCTTCGTCTGCAACCTGCAAGGCCTGCTGGGATACGAGCCTGGAGAGTTGCAGGCCATGTTGGACATCGGTAGCAAGAGTCACTAACGGCTCAACAAACACTGGGAGGACGAAGCAGAGAGACGCTTTCTTTTCAAATACGGAATCCTTCAATTTCCATCTTTGTTCACTTGACACATGGTTCGGGTACATGTGGGAGGATGCTGAGGTCGTCTGCTAATGTCAGCTATGAACATTAACAGATGACATGAAGCACTTTATCTTGATTTCACTGTCAAACAATAAAACAAACATCAAAGTTATTTGTGCAATTTATTTTGATATTTAAATTAAAAAAACGTGAGGTGTATATTATGAATATCATGAATATAAACAAACGAATACTTTCACCGATATTTGCTGGTAATTATGTAGGAAAATATAGACAGTGATCAACATCCTCTTCACTCTTGTTCATGGTGACCCCCACTTGCAGACAGGGTAAAGATTCTACTCTAGATGTTTTGAGAAAATTAAAGTAAGAGTTGGCTACTTTTACATAATGGCACTCCTATCATGCTCATGAACCCCAGTGTCAGTATGTCAAGTTTCAGAAAAAATTACTGTAGAAAAGAGTTTGTTTTCTTATTTGTCAGCAGGGATCACACAAACATTAGTGAATGGATTTCCACAGAACTGGTGCAAATACAGACAAAGGGACAAATACAGGATCTCTTTAAACTTCCTTTAACATTTTAAAAATGTTCACAGGGAATGATTCATGAAAAAAAAAATCATATTTAGAGAACTGATATCTATGAGTGTGAGTAATATGGTGCAGCTTGAATATATTGGGCCTTTGTAGTCCCAATTAAGCATAACTTCATGATAAGAAACATCTTGGGAAAGATTTTGGAAACGATGGACATGTATTACAACTCCATAGTTTTATCCATCATCGTAATGATCCCCAGGTAAAGAGCAGAAGCAGGATTGTGTTTCACAGTAATCTAACAGGAATGGATGCTTCTGTATTTGACTGCAGCAGCTTGGTGGATGAGGCCTCATTGAGTTGTGTCAAACAGCTGAGCCACATTCAACTAGGTTGTAAATATTGTTATTTACAGTGCATCTGTTGCAGAGATTGATCCCTCACATGTGGCTCTCTCTGAGGTTTCGACGTTGTTTAAAAGGGTTTTTATTTCGTCGTATCTCCTTACTCTTTTTGAGGGTTAAGGACAGAGAGTCTTGCACCTTGTTAAGCCCTACAAGACAAATTGTGATTTGTGAGTATAGGCTATATGTGCAGTGAGGGGGGGGGGGGGGGGGGGGGGGGGGGGGGGGGGGGGGGGGCTGGGAGAGCACCTCCACCTGTACCAGAGGATCAATCAGGGCAGGTGAGAGCTGTTAGCTGATTGAGCCTCAGGTTTAAAAGACACCGGTCGAGGCTGCCGTGGTCAACTGCCACACTATACAAATAACATTTTTATTGATTGATTGATGGAAATATGAGTGGGGTCTAAAAGGTACAGTGTGTAGAATTTTGTGATATCGAGTGTTGAAGTTGCATGTTGCAGCTGAACACCCCTCACCTCACCCTCTCCTTCCAAACATGAAAAAGAACCTGTGGTAGCTTCAGTTGTCATAAAAACTCAAAAGGTGTTTAGTTTATCCAGTCTGGACTAATGTAAAAATGGCGGCCTCCATAGAGAGTGTCCCCTTGATGTAAATATAAAGTATTTAATTAAAAAGGGCCTTTTCTGGGGTAAAGAAAACTACAATTCATACAATTTAAATGAAACAACTAGTGAAAACATCATGAGGCTTATTCTACATTAAATTCCTGCCAATAGATCCCTTTCACCTTAATCTTACACACTGGACCTTTAAAAGTCAAATCCACTTCGCTGAATATTTTTGCTGTGTCCAGTGGGAAGCCTCCACAGACACAAGTTCCCTCCACTGATAATCTCCCAACCAGAATCATCTGGCGAAGGTTCCTGTGTGGACGCAGAGATACAGCATGAGAGTGTCCCTGCCGGGAGGCGCTTCTCCAGGGATCAGCTGCTGCTTGGACTAATGGAACCTAATTGATGTATTCACGCTTGCTGAGCCAACCCCTCTCTGGCTTTCGCTCCACTTCATATGAGAGGTAGGTGTGTGGGTGACTGGAATAACCAGCTCCTGCGGAGAGATCAAGCGGACTGATTTAACACCTCAGATCCCACACAAGGCGTGTTTGATTTATAACCTTCTCATTCCTCGTCCAGCAGGGGATCCATGTCTGCTCCTGTGGATTGAAGAATGGTTCCTTTCAGTCTGACCCTGAGTGGGTGTTCAGAGCTTGATTATTCCGCTGTAAATGCACTTGCAACAAAAATATTCCATTGAGGTTGAGCAGAAACTTAATAGAGTCTATGATAAATTATGCGTTCTGTTTTGTAAGATTATTATGCTGCTTTTTGACAATAACTTCATTTGAAAAATCATATAAAAGTAGTGGAGTACAGAAAGCAATAATCCCCTTTGAGTTGTAGTGCAGTCAAAAAATAAAGCAGCATAGAATCGAATTACACAATTTAAGTGCAAAAGCCCTAAAACTGCACTTGAGTAAATGTACTCAATTATGTTCCATGTTGCTGAACGTGTTGAAGGATTCAGAGGCGAACATGTTTTGCAGCATTGCAGTTACTGATTATTCATCTTGAATATAACCCACCTGTGGAAAAAATACAGATCCAAGACCCTGTAAGAATCGAAGCTGATCAGAAAAGAGAATCTTGGGTATAATGTCTGTTCATGACTCAGTTGTGTTTCTGCTTTAATCCCCAACACACACTCAAAGACACACGCACAGTCTTGCCCCATGCCGGCTCTTCCATTAGCAGGCTTTGGGAGTGTAAGTGGTGGAAGTAATCCTCACACACTCTCGCTCTGGCTCTGTCACCTGCTCACTGGCGGGTAAAAGAACATCAGCATTCAGCCGCTTCATATCATTTCATGCTGCAAATCTGGGGATGTAAACGATATGATGAAACCTGAACGTATATGTGCAATGTAGGTTCAAAAACGAGGAGGTCAGACAACCACCTGTTATCACATAAGCCACGTTCCATCTATAGGTTCCAAGAATTCCTTAAAAATGCAGAAAGCTCCATTAACTGATAAAGATTGAGATGTGGTTGAAAGCTCTGGAAAACGTTTGGCAAGCAGTGGCCTCTGAGTACAGATTTCCATGTCAAACGTACGGACAGTGCTATTACTCTGAAATTCCATTTTCTGCTGCCTCATTTTGGGTTTGGTCGTAGTGACACCAGGTTAAGGAAGGTAGTCCAGACGGCCCAGCAATGTTTTCCAGGAGAACCCTGAGGCGTTTCAGGCCAAATGAGATTTATAATCTTGGTCTGCCACCAGACCTTGTGCCAGTAGGACGTATTAAATGGTTTGTAAATATATATATATATAGAGAGAGAGCTTTTCTAGTCTTGATGACCACTCAATGTGCTTTACAGTACAGTTTGCCATTCACCCATTCACACACACATTCATACAGTGCAGCTATTAGCAGCACCTTTTTGTTCTATGAGGGGCAATTTTAGGTTCTGCACACTCACCCAAGCACACTTTGGCATGCAGATGGGGAAGACTGGGGATCAAACTGCCGACCGTCCGGTTGGAGGACGACCACTCTACCCATCAGCCACAGCCGCCCAATTGATTATTAAATTATTAATTAAACATTACTGACAACAGACTGCTCACAATCAGAAACCCCACTGAGTGGTTTCCACCTCTATAGTCCTGTTCAGCTGGAATTAAAGGTTTAGTCTCAGGAATACAAGTCAGATGGTAGACACTTAAAACCTGCTCATGCTCAGCTGCACGCCTAATGATGTGTCAACTGTCAGATGAAAACATGAGGAGGAATTATTGACTCACACACACACACTGATTTTATGTAAATTTGTGACTTTAATCCCAGAGAATATTAGAAAGTTTTGTTTCTTGTGACATTACAATGATTTTTTATCTTGGAATATATTTGTTTTTACCTTATGGGCCAAAGATAATCCTCTCTTGAATCAAATTTAAATGAAAGAAACAAGCCTCAGATGAGATTGGAAATGGCATGGAAAAGGTGTCCACAATATACTGTTCACATTAGATACGTACATTCAAATATCAATTCCGTACTTTGTAGAAATGTAGAATACACATAAAATATAATAAAATGTTGGGTAATCTGGGACATTGGGACACCAAAGCCTCAGTCTGTTTATTTCCTGTTTTAATCAAATCTAGTCAATGGAGCTTTAGTTCAGCATAGCTATCATGTGACTGATATGACTAGTCCCAGCTGTAATGTGTCACCCTGAAATCCACCCAGTCAGGGGGGTGGGCCTGGTCGCAATACCTCATGGTGATGGCTCTAAGCTGTGTGAGGGTTTACTGCACTTAAACACACACGCGCGCGCACACACACACTTTGTGCACATACACGCACCAGGGTACAGACTGTCTGTGCTACACAGTCATGATTTGCCTATTGGTCACTTGACTACAGACCTGTTTGTACACAATCATTGGTCTTTCATTTAGTTAAAGGGGTTATGTTTAAACCCTGCTAGCGCCCCCTAGTCGCTGACAGTCATAACTCAAGTATAAATTTGAAGGATAGATAGATAGATAGATAAATATGGGATGGTTGTGGCTGGTAATCCTCTTACCAGAAGGACTGTGGTTCGATCCCGGTCTTATATATAAGACATTTTTAAAAAACAACAAAGACAATACATGACATGAAAGTAATTTATTGCAGAACATTCTACTTGATTTAAATCCACATTACAGATTCATAGTAGATGAAAGCAAGTACTCATCTATCTTTTTGTATGTCAGATAATAAGGCCTTTAAAGTGGACATTATAAACTGATGTGAGGGTGATTGTGTGTGTGTGTATCTGTGTGTATGTGTGTCATTGGGACTTCTGTTTCTCCCACTGTTCTGGTGTGAGGGTCTTCTGTTCGAAAGCGTGGATCTCTTTTAGCTCCTCCGCTAGGCACGTATTCACCATCCTGTCAACACATGACGCACACAACTGGAGTTTATTCATGTACAGCTGCATGTTGCTGGCATGTTGTAATACACATGTGCAGTAGCTCCATGCTTGTGTTACTTTTCAAACAGTATTCGATAACACTGTATTTGGCACCACACAGGCTGCATCATGGATGACTTCAAAACTTATGTTAAAAACCCTGAAGTACCCTGAAGCTGTTTTTTAAAATGGTGGTCACAATGTTTGGGTTGGTCTTATTGATCATGCTAATCTCACCCCCCCCCAGACCCTGACGTAAGCAGTTCTTTCTTCCAGACCAACGAGGTGTTGCTGCCAGAGTCAACCCAGTTTTTCGGGCAGTGAGCCAGTTCTTTGGCCGTCGAACACAAAGAACTAGCTTGGATCAGGCCATGGCTCTGAACCAGCCCTTGATCTGCCTTGATGGAAAAGGGGTACTATTTCAGTTATGTTACTCCCTGTGATATTTGGATTGTAACAGATATATACATTTATCCGCACAGAGCCTTGTGCACACTCTTAGGTAATATTGTGATGCAGAGCAATAAGTATCACTTGGCATCAGGATCTCATGGTGTCTGTGACTTTTGGCCTCCTGTAACAACCCTGCACAGATATTATGTTGTGTAATGTAGCACAGCTCTGATATAATCAGTTATCATAATAATATGTATATTACAATAAGCTACAGTGACACAAATATATTCTGTGTAGGTTTATCAGAACATTCTTAAAACCTGACAATCCATCCATGCTCCCTCCTTTGAATGCTTTTTAAATTAAACTGACTTGGGCTACATTGCAGACGTGTGATACCTGTGTCTCTGTAACAGTGGTTTTCCCTCAAACTGGGGTGACACCACCAGGACTTTATAGCTGGCTGCGCATCTGTTCGGTGATGTATCCTCCACATCCTGGTAAACAGATAACAGATCGACAGTTAGCTCAGTCTGACATTTTTGTTAAATGACACGGGAAACCCGGGGAGGTTGGATAGTGATGGGGTTGATTAACCTCAAAATATTCCTGAGGACAGAACAACTCTGCTCCCCCCCAAAAAGAAAACCCTTACAAACCATTTACCCATGTAATACTAGTAATAGTGTTATTAGTACAAGTATTATTATCATTATTATTATTACTAGAGGTGGGCTTTATGTCACAAATTATATCAGATGAAAATTTCATATCAGTTCTTTGTGAGCAGAAAATGACAAACATTTAATATAAAGTTGAAGATTTTACAAATCGGAGGTACATCAACTAATGTTCCTACCTCCTCACTGTACTTGCACAATGTATAAGCAGTAGATTTAAATATATTGAACCTTTGTTATATTGATGAAAATAATATTGCAATATGTTGTTTTACAACCCATCCTTTATTCACACCATCATCATTAAACTACGACCTGTCCAAGGTGTGTCCTGCCTTTCGCTCAGTGTCAGCAGGGATCGGTTCCAACCGTCCAGTGTCAGTCACATGATAAGTGGTATGAAGGAAGGATGGATAAATAACTATGTTATAATAATCTTTATGATTATTATTACTGCAGATCTCGTGTAATACCTACATCATAGGAACTGCACAAAGTCACGATCATTGCTTCGAATAATCATGACCATTTTATCCAAGTTTGTTTTTCGTATGTGGCACAGCAAGTTATGTTCGTCACACTACTGTTTCTTTTTTTTTGTTCTTGCCAATTGTACATCAGAAGCCTGTTTTGGTCACTGGTGTATCTGGTTTGTTTCTGCAGCAATACATTTAGCAGACGCTTTTGTCCAAAGCGAATTAAGATGAGTACATTTGTCACAAGAGAGAAACCACTACATATCACTGTCGATGGGGTAAAACGAAATATAGAAACAATTGTCAAGCCCTCATCTGAGGATCGCAACTGCTATTTGTGAACGATTCTTTAAGTGCATGAGTGCTATGCAATAGAAACAGGAACCCTCACATGTGACCTTGGAGCATGATACAGCCAGTGGTCGTTTGTCCAGTAACACTGGATCAACAGCCACACACGTGACACCTGAGGTGCCGAGCTGCTGCATCTCACTGGCAGGTGGCTGGAGCACCTTTAATTGACACCGGAAGTGTCGGCTGCCACAATTCCAGACAGGCCTCGAGGCACGTGAGGCAGAAGCAGGGGGGACAACGTGGAATGGTGAATGAAAGTGTGTGTGTCCAGTGGCTCGAGGTACGAAATATTAACGACACATCTACGTTACACTGCACATTTACACTTGCGCAATGCTCATCACAACACAAACATGCGACACAAACAGCGAGACACTTACCACGTGCACTGCGGCGAGCTCCTTGGTGAGTTTGTCCCGGATGTGATCAGGTGTTACGGCCATGTCTGCGTGAAGAAGTGCTGTGAGGTTAACGCCAGTGAATCAGATTGCTACCACAGATGAGGACAACTCATTGATTTCAGTCTGCAGAGGTAAACACGCGGACACCGGAAGTGCTGCAGTATTCTTCAAGCTCGGATATATTTCAAATAAAACGCTGCTGCAGTATCGATGTGAACTCAAGTTTTAATTTGAGTAATCGTTATTACCAGATATTTATATTGGACGATCTTCTGATTGCAGTCAACCAGCATGAAGAGGTGGGTGTTAGAGTGTGTGACATCATGACTGACGGAAGACATGTCCAATTGCTTTGCGGCAGTGGAAAACTCTGGCCAATCAGGTGCGGCCTGTCTGTTTTAAAGTAGCGAATCATAACATTAGGGGGTCCTCGCAGAAAGACTAACTCAATACTCACAGAAGGTTCGTGTAAAAAAACCAAATACGTGTTTCACGATAAGTCACTTTGATATAATAGTATTAATGAGTGTTTAGATGTGATGTGAGGTATTATTAAGACACGGAAAGAGATACATTCAGTCATTAAAACATATATTCAGTCAGGCAGCGTTACGGGCTACTACAGTGGACACTGTTTACATGCAGGCAGGAGTTCAGTCATGGCCGTTTCTTGACATTTAACGCTTTCGACTCTGTCCTCGAGCATGAAGTCAAAATAGATTAGCGAGGAGAATGGAGGTATTTCCACAGTTAAACTGGATGGTGTCATAATAATCTGACATGTCGTATTTTTGTGTAAGGCTGCACTAGCCAAGCTAACTTAGCCAACTGCTAAGCGGTGGTGGGTGTTTAATCGGGAGCTTGATAACAACAATAACACTCACATCGCCTTGTACAATGGTGGTGGAGGTGGAAAGCTTTTTCGGTGTCTACATGCTTTACTGCACAAATCCCAAATTCAAAGGTCGCATCTACATCGGCTTCACTGTGAACCCCGAGCGGAGGATCGGGCAGCACAACGCCGGGAGGCACAAAGGCGGAGCGAAGAGGACCAGCGGCAGGGGACCATGGTGAGATCCGCTGCCCCGGCTGATCGACAGCATGGACACACTGCGTGGAATCACTCGATCACTTCTGTTCTCTGTGTTCCCTTGTTTCAGGGAGATGGTCCTGATCATCCACGGCTTCCCCTCGGACATCGCTGCCCTCAGGGTAAGTATCTATAATAATACAGTACAAAGATCTTCAAAACAGAAATTGGATACAGAAGGAAAAACAATGAGAATAAAATACATAAAAGACAAAAAACCCTGGTACTCCTATTGAGCCATATGATAAAAGCATATAAGACAACCTTGCTTCCTTAAGTAATTCATACCAGAGCTGTGATTTGATCGTATCTCTTACTTAAAGTTAGACGCGGAGTTGCTGAAGTGTTGCACAGACTGCAGTCTTTTCAGAATTATCAGAGTCAGACAAGAGAAAAGGCTGTTTGAGTAATCAAGGTGAGAAGTAATAGAAGCATTTATGAATTTTCCTGAATCTCTAAATTTGAAGTTGATCTAGTTTCGGGGTATTTTCCTGAGATTGAGAAAAAAAACAAGCGATTGAAAAACTTTTGTTGAAAAGTTAAGTTACAGTTAAGCAATATATGATTTGAGATAAGGGAGGGACAGATAAGTGAGTCCTTAATATTGACCTGACAGTTCTGTACTTGACATGGTGTGAGAACTTCTGAAACAACATTTAAACCACTGGAACAATGGAAGCCTGTTTCCACAACAGGAACCTCAGGACCTTAACCTGTGTTTGAGCAGAGGAGCCTTCGAAATTGTTACTTATCTATAGTTTTTCCAACAGAGTAGCGACAAGTCTATTTTCACACTCAAATGTTTGTTCTGCTACATTCCTTATCAAACAAAATATAACTTTTATTTGGGAATGTTGACAAGCACAAAATACAATGAACATCTCTCGCCCTCTTTTCTGGATTTGTTAACAACCAGTTATTAAATGATTAAAATCAAACTATGAAAAACATTTATTTATAATAGCTGCCAGTTTGAATGGGCTTTAATTAAAGTCATGGGAGCTTTTGATCAGTATGAGGACATGGGGCGGACAGTTTTTGTGTTGTTTATTTAGATTTGGAACAGATGTGTTGTCCCTTTCTCAACACTGTGCTCAAAATGACAAAGTGAAGTGGATTCCTGAAGCAAAACATTATTTACTGACAGTTTCAGCACGTTGTCGGCTCTCTCTCCTTTGTATCAATCCACTGAAACATCAGTTAATTCCAAATAGCAGCACAGATCTACATGGTGTCTCTGATGTGGTGAAAACACCCAAAAACAACAGACAGTGATTTAAGTGCCAAGTTGCCAAGACCTGTGCCACAAAAGCTCCTGGAAATAGTCATTTTAAAAAGGAGTTAATCTCAATTGGTTATCCTGCAGTGTAAATTACCAACAGGAAGTTAGAGGCTCTACAGGGTTTTTGTTCCCCTGAAGATGTCAGGCTGTGTGGGCCCTTTTCCGATTTAGGGTTAGGGTTGGATGGTATGACTTAGATTGTATGTGTTGAACCTTATCTAACTCATCACGGTTCATCCATATCAGTTTGAGTGGGCTTGGCAACACCCCCACTCCTCCAGGCGACTCTCCCATGTCTCCCGGCGCTCCAAAAAAGAGTCGAGTCTGCAGTTCCACTGGCGCGTCCTCTCCAACATGCTGCAGGTGGCGCCGTGGAACCGGCTTCCGCTGACGGCCCGCTGGCTCAAGCAGGAGTACAGGATGGACTTTGAGCCCAGCCTGCAGCCCCCCCTGCACATCCCCATCGCTTTTGGCAGCGTGAGAGCCAAGAAGACTCAGCAACAGCAGCCTGTGGGGGAGGAGGTGGAAGACGTGTCCAGATGTTTTCTCTGCAAAGGCTTAGTCAAGGTAGTGACCCTTTAGATTTTGGAAAATACCCCAAGTGGATCTTTACACTGTAAAATGTCCTGCTCAGTATTTAAAATCTGTAAATGGAATCTGTATCAAGTTTAATGTTAGAAAATAATGTCTGGCCAGTTAATGGATATTTGAACTGTACTGTCTTCTACTGTAATCTCTAAATGTAACATGCAGAATGTTGCATATTAGCGTGCTGATGATTGCTAAGGCTTGAAAGTTGTATAAGAAGGTCAGATACAGTTACACACTGACACAGTTACACAAAAAATGTTCTGTTTGCTTGGTCAGCTGTGTGGAGGCGAGAAAGGAGTGTCTCTCTGACTCTCTGTGTGTGTCTCTGTGTGTCTTTGAGGGATTGCCTCAAAATGAGGGATGTTTCTAAATGATATTGCGTCTCCCCTCTATGATGGCAGGCTTGTCATTCCCCATGCTTTCCCTTATCTTCTGTCATATAATGTTAGTGTCAGGTGTTCATACTTAACAGGGCTGAGGTTTCAAATAATAATGTAAAGATTTATGAATGTATCACTGTGAGTCAGCAGCTTTTAAAGTCCCACCATTAAAACATAGAGCTTGTCCCCATCAAACGCCTTAGTCTGCAAATGTAATTTGGTGATGGAGAGGAGAACTTTGTCCAAAGTAAGGACAATATTGGACTTTCGGTCACACCCTCTCCATAATGTCTTGATTAGCCTCTGCAGCTCGTTCAGTGGTAGGCTCATCCACCCACGCTGCTCGACAGAACGCCACAGGAAATCATTCCTGCCTGTGGCTGTCAAATTGTATAATGACAACTGTAATTTATAAAGCTTAATACTGTATTCTGTGTATACTTGAACTTACATTCATGTACAAATGTAAATCTATACATACCCGTTTTTTATTTCTACATATGTATATCTTTTATGAAATTATAGTCTTACTTGATTTTTCTATTGCTATGTTTATACCTGCTTTTGCTCTTTCACCTCTTTCTCAGGAGCTCGGTGACATTTGAATTTCCCTACGGGGATTTATAAAGTACTTCTGATTCTAATTTGACAAAATACCAGCTAACCTTCATTCCAGTACAATCAAATCTTGACCGTACATCTTTGCCTGGTGTTTTTCTCAGGTATCAGAAAAGCTCAGCTGTTTCCGCCCGTCCTGTGGAATGAGCAGTCATGAGATCTGCCTCGCCAAACATTTCCTGAAGCGTGAACCGTCGCACCTCCTGCCTGTGGAGGGAGACTGTCCAGCGTGTCGCCACTCGGTGCTGTGGGGGAGCCTCATTCGTCATAAACGCGGCTGCTTCGGAGACCTGGAGGAGATCACGGCATCTGCATCCCAAGTAAGTTACACTACCTGTGTTTGTGTAGAAAAGATGATCGTATACTTTTACTGCTCCATATTTTGGCAGATATGATTAAATATCACCTGTTAGTCTCTTTGTTTCCAGTCAGGAGGTTTCTCTTATTTCAAGTAGGGATGAATGTAACTTAACGTAAAGCGTTGTCAACCTTTCCTCCTCCACTCTGGCTCCGCTCAGCTCGTGTTGTGTTGTTAGTTATTGTCATCAACAGCGGACATTGTTTATGTACTTATGGTCGTATTGTTCTTACACGTGACTTCGTTCACTAGGGTTGTGTGTTTCTTATATTGTGAAATGTTCTTTATTTCTATCTTCCATTCACGCACACATTCCTACATTGCAACAATAAAGACGTCAGGGGCAATGTGAGGCTAAGTAGGTTGCCCAGAATGGGGAAGACGGGGATCGAACAGCCGACATGCTGGTTACAGGACGACCCACTCTACACCCTGATCCCCACATATTTGATTAATATATCTAAGGTTTCAATTGAACCTGCAACAGAATATTTAATTGTAAAATAAAAAGCTTTTTGAGTGATACAGCACATTTTAACACAATAATACCGATATCTGTGATCTTTTTGGTCACTAGTATTGTGACACCGGTTCATCTAATTACAAGGGACTTTAGGTTTTATTTCTAACTTGTCCTTGGACTTTCCACAGAGTCACTGGGCAGATGAACTGCAGCTATGAGAGAGCGGAGTCTGCGAAACTGAGCCCTGGTGAAGTGCGGTGTCAGATAATGATGTGGATTATTTTAAATGGGATTTAATGAATAATAATGAAGACAGACTGGATGCTTTTTTTACGTCAATCAATCTGATCATGTGTTTTAACTATGAGTTTAATGTATTAAATATTTGTGGTGGTAAAAAACGTATGTGACAAATAAAATAAAAAGTTGTATATATGTACAAAGTGTTGGGTGTACACTACTTATCTGGAACAGGGTCAGACTGAATGTGCTGGTTCCCGTTCTGTCAACAAAACTACATTTACTGTGTTATTACAGTACATGTACATATGTTAGGTAAAAAACACCAAACCTCAGAGCTAGTAGCACATGTAAAGGCTGCTGATCAGACAAAAAACTCTTTTGGATATGACTCTCCCCTGACAGGAAGTTAGTTATCGGAACTGTGAATAATCCAGTGAGCTCATTCCTGTAACGTTACATTTGGAAAAGCACAGTATTTATTTTAAAAAAAGGTCTAATGTTTGTGCACACCTCCCGGATTGGTTCCCACGGATGTGTGCACCTGTGATGATTGTGAATTTTTCTATTAATTGGACAAAAAGTGGAGCAATCTGCCATTTTCTTTTCAAATCTACACTTCGCTTTTGGATCAATTTGTTTTCACAAGAGCAGTGCACTGTAAACAGTAGTATACTGGCTTAAATAACAGCTGGGCTTCAAGGTATACAGGGACAGTCCTCTCACATGGTGAAACCAAATCGTTTTTTTTCCCCAAAGAAAAGCAACAACTGCAAACAACTAACGTTTTATTGTTCATAGTTGTGAATTGCAGTGACAAAGGATACATCAGTGAAGCATTAATTCGCAGTGATCGTCACAAAGTATCTTCATAAAGTTACCAAAAATCCAAGCACAAGTATTTTCAGCAAAGCATTAATGTGCATAATAAGCATTAAAATGAAATGTAATTGCCCTGATATAGTTGAATCATTTTACCTTCTCGTACCTTCAGCACAAGATATGGTTAATTCTAACGTGTAAAATTAATTGTCCCTATTTCTACTCTCATCCAACATTTTCACATCATTACTACAATTATAGACTACGACCCTGGTCTGGACAGGGCCTGTGATAAATCCACATGAGGAAATGAATACATGCAAAAACAGATCTAATGGAAAAACTGTTGAGTCATGTGTGAGGACGTTGTAAATTTACACTAAAGCTGCATGTGTAGTTTTCAGACAACTTCAACAACATCTTCAGCAAACATAGACAGTGACAGTCCTGTTAGTTCCTGACAGCTGCTTTATGCTCCATGTTCACCTGCTGCGCTCTGACTGTGAGTGTCTGCCGGTTGCTCCGGAGCACACAGCGAACAAGTGGCTTCATCAGAGATTTTTTTTTTAGCTTTCAACAGGTGTGACTTGAAACGCGAGGCTTGTATGAGAAGCAAAACAAACGAGCTAGAAGAGGCTGGACGGCTCCGTGGAGCAGAGAGGAAGTCATTTCACATCACACACCATAAGTCGTGTCGTCCATTGTTAGTATAAAAGTGTTAATGCAGCTTTGACGTTAGCATTAGTGTGTGACTAAGTGTGTTACATCCCTTTTGCATGTGTCGCCTCACTGTTGGACGGCAGGGGTTTGTACAGTGATCACCGTCTGACAGGGACAAGAAACAAGGAAAGAAGACAATTAAAACAGAATAAGCAACTACTACAGTAAGATAGTTAAGTTGCGGTTAAATCTTGTCTTCTTTAGAAGTGTGCCTCTAATGTAATTCTCCGTACAATTCCAAACCCAGCTGGTTTGGCCCAGTCTTTTCCACCAGTCTTTCTTTTTTCTTGTGTTTGGTACGTTCAGGCTTTATTAGGGAAACCTAGAGCTGCTACCACATCGCTGGCATGGCGTGTACTCACCATTTTGGGGGCTGGGGCGCAGCAGTTGACAACCTTGCAGCAGTAGGCGGCCAGAGTGACGGAGATGGCCAGCAGGACAGCGTTGACGAGCGAAGCCTCAGCGAAAAAGTGGGAGCGGGTACTCTGTAAGTGAATCGACGTTTACAAAGAAAGAAATCAGTGAAGGAGGATATATGAAGTGTGGTTTCAATTTTATTTTCGTGTATTCTTTTTTTCAGTTCAGCATTTACTTGTAACTTGATAGACCAAAAATCTGTGTTTTGCAAACTGTGCGTCAGATTTATTTTAATATTTATTAACCACCTCAATATTATGGCAGATTTCCCCGAATCGAAGTGTGCTGTTGTCATAGTAATAGTGCCAGCAAAAGGGGGGCGTGTTGTCCATTTTAACCAGAGAGGAGATCATGTTGAACAGGGACGCGCCACTCGCCACAATCTGCATCCCCAGACAGGCTCTCAGCTGAAACACACACACAACAAAATACAGGGACGGGACTTTAAACACAGTTCTCTCTAAAATAACACTTTTCCCATCTACAGAGAAAATAAGAGATGGACTTGATGTTTAAATCCTTAAATAAGAATGATAAAGGCAAACAAGTTCAAGCTGTTCCAGCCTGGTCCCCTCGTATAACGTCCACAGAAAGTCCGGAGGAGGCGATGCGAGAACACGACAGCAGATTTTCTGCAGGATTACAACACGCGACAGACGCAATAAAATAAATAAATTGAGAAAACAAATATCTCAGGATTCAAAATAGGAGCGATGCATAAAGAAGACACAGGTGAAAATGTCAAGAGAGTTTGTGTGTGTGCGCCAGTAGGTTGGCGGTTCAATCCCAGCCTGTGCCATCTGCATGCTGAAGTGTCCTTGGGCAAGATGCTGAACACTGAATGGGACCTCATAGACGTTGAACTAATTGGAAGTCACCCTGGATAAAAGCATCAGCTCAAAACGGTGTAATGTAATGTGCTGTCCTCGAAAACACATGATCTATGCAGTGAGATAAACTACATGCTGCCTCTGGCCTCTGCACCACCCCTCAGCTGAATCCTGCAGAGATTCGTCTGAGCGAAGACTCATCTGCTGCGTTATTAATGCGTGAAAGGCAAACTCTGCAAAGTGTCTGCACCCAGTTCTCGTGCTCATATCTGAGAACAGCGACTTTTCCATTTGAAAGAATTCGATTTGTTCTAGTTGCTGTTCAGAAAAGCAGAAGTTGCCTCGTTACTTCTCCTTCCTGTGTCTACTCCTGGTTACGAGGTTCCCTTCAGCTCACTCACCGTTGGCAGATGGAGGTTCTGTGCCGCTAGCGCCACACTCCCGGCGATTACCACCTGTGGAGAGAACAAAAACACACGGTCACAGAGGCAGGGAATCACGTTCAAAAGTCTGGAAACAAATAAGAGAACAGGATCAATTTGGGGTCAAACAAACTAAAGACAACTGGCAATCCCAACATGTATGAAAAGACGTAATCAAGCATTATGTTGGTGTGTTTAGTTAAATACTACAAGTGAAATTCACAAAATATCAATATATTGTTCGAATAATTGGATCATTTAAAATGAATGAAAGAAAAACGAAATAAAAAACACTGTTATATGTTTCCTTTTTACGTATTTATCATCTGTGTCATGTTGACTTGAATTTTTTCATGCTGCATAAAAATGAAAACAAAAAAGAGGAGAAAGACTAAGCTTCAAAATGCAAAATAAATAATCAGCTGTCCAATCACAGGAAATATGTTTTAATGTCGAGGGGCTGCAAAATTAAAATCACAATACATTAATGTTCCATTCACCATAAATGAACTTCCACAGCCTCCACCATTTGTAAAAACCACGTCACAACTCCTGAACTCAGAGCTTTTTCAAAGTGACCTGGTTATGGGGGAATTTTGGTCCTGGCTGGTCTTTTATAAATATCACTGCATTTCTATCATGCAGCCCACCTCCTCACCTCCTCACCTCCTCACCCTTCATTTGGGCCTTTGCCTGATGAAGACGCTTTACACGATTGGAGTGTAATTGCCCCAAAAACCTTTCACAGTTGCTAACTCAGTAAATATCACCATGCACTTACAATGGGTTCCTGCTTATTCATCTAAAGTGGCTTCAGAAAGAATTCACACTCCTTCATTAGTGCTTTCTTTGTTGTGTTGGAGGTTTAATTGTAAATGAATATTAAGCATAACACTTGCACGACACTGGGAGTTAAAGACGAGCTTACCAGTAGAGTTGAAATGAAGTAGGGGATGTCAGTATCTAAGTGAGTCAGGCCTTTGGCCAGAAACACAAACATACAGATGATCTGAAACATACTCAGGCCAATCTGAGTGACCTGAAACCAACACACACACACAGAGAAGAGTTAAAGTTACACACACACACAAACCAGCAGTCGTGTCTCCATGACTCCAGAGGACATTATGTGGCCTAACCTAATCTTAATCCTAAACTTTCAAACATGTCTTCACCGTAAAATGTAATAATTTACGTTATGAGGACTTGCTTTTTGTCCCTACTAACGAAGACAAGTCCCCATGAACAGAATGAAAACATTTCCTGTTGCCAGTAGGGGGCTTTAACTGAATATGTGTGAGATGTTCAATGTCGAAATATTTTTCTGACCAAGTTTGTAGTGGATGCGATCAACCTAAGATGTCATTATCAGTAGGTACAACTATAACTGAATATTTTTATGTAGACACCCTTCTCTCTCTCTCTCTCTGTGTGTGTGTGTGTGTGTGTGTGTGTACCCCCAGGGACTTGGGCTCAGCCTCCAGGTACTTCTGGTTCCTGTGGATGTTCCTCTGGAAGGTGACCGAGACCAGGGGGCTCTGGGCCGGGCTGACGCCTTCCTCCACCACCGCTGCTTCATCTGAAATGCCATGCGTGTTGTTAGCCAGCATGCATTCGCGGACGCGTTTGCAGCGGAAGCTTCAGAGTATCACCCCGAACACAACATCTGGATTTCATCACTCTGGATAAACAACCCGGATCCTCGCGCGCCCTTTCCCCACCGTTAGCTCCAAACTGTGCGTATTAATAAAGCGTCTTTGTGTTTTTTTACCTGCCATGGTCGTAGTATCCACAAGTGCACGGACAGATGTCTTCCCTTTTTGTCTCGATCTGCTGGTTTCAGGCTGAAGTTTTGCAACAACTTGGACAGTGACCGAGTCCCGCCCCGCATCTGCTGCACTACTTCCCCTCAGCCCGGGACCAGCGCTGTGCAGCCTCAGCTCCGATTGGCTGAGAGCAGGAGAAGTCACTTCCCAAAAAAACCTGCCGCCAGAGTACTACGCAGAGTACCACGCAGAGTACCACGCAGAGTACTACACGGAGTACCGCACAGGAGGGTTCAGCACAGCTCAAGGTGAAGCGCGTCAAAGGGATGGTTCACCCAAAAAGGAATATTCACTCATTATGGAGTGTCCACACAACAACCCTGGAGTCTCAGGGTTAAGATAGATAGATAGATAGATAGATGGATGGATGGATGGACGGATAGATTGATTGATTGATTGATTGATTGATTGATTGATAGATAGATAGATAGATAGATTGATAGATAGATAGATAGATAGATAGATAGATAGATAGATAGATTGATTGATTGATAGTAAATAGATAGATAGATAGATAGATAGATTGATTGATAGATAGATAGATAGATAGATAGATAGATAGATAGATTGATTGATTGATTGATTGATTGATTGATTGATTGATAGATAGATAGATAGATAGATACTTTATTGATCCCGAAGGAAATTCAAGCATCCAGTGGCAGTAACATACATCGAACCTACATTAGACTTGACTTATACATTAGAGTTAACTTATTACACAGTGACAGTACGTAGAAATTGGCCTGAGGGTAAACAGTGTTGCAGCCAAATCCAATAGATAACTAAAATATATACTAATATATAACAACTAAATAACAAATAAATAAATAAAATGCCTCCATACCGCTGTGTATTGTTTTTTTTTATGTTTGAAGAATCAGTTGCCATTTACTTCAATTGTATTGGATTTGGCTGCAACGCTGTTTACCCCCGAAACTCCAAAAGTGTTTTGTGGACTCAAACGCTTCACCTGTCCCTCCATCAGTATAGTGGTGAGGAGATAATGAGAGATTTTCCTTTTTTGGGTGAACTATCCTTTTAATCAGATTTATTCCTGTTGAAAGGGCCTATTCAACCAGTGGCCTATGGGCCAGATTCAGCCTGTTTGAGTTTTTCTGTTGGCTGTAACACAAGAGAAATACAGACCGGCTCCTCTGTGGTTATTTTTCCCACTGGCTTGTTGAGCAACTTCTTTCACAGCCTGATCTAATACACTGTTTTACTGAATACATATTGTTTTCTACATTTGTGAATATGGTCATTGAAACGAAGGAATGTTACCTTTTGCACATCTGTATCAAGCCTCAATCATAGCTTTACTTTATTTATTTTTTATTATAAATCCCCAGGGCTTTCCCTATTGAGCCCACTTGTTATTGAATAGCTTTGGTTTACAACATGCAGGGATATGATCTCATAACCTGACCGCACATATTTACTGCTAACGTTATAATCCATTATTAATCATGAACAATCTCTCCCACACACCAGGATCGTCACCCATGATGCAATTCTTCTTCTTGCATTCGACACATTATTTTTCTGGATTCATAAAAATGTGGATACAAACTCACCCTTGATGATAAACCAAACCCTTAACTTGAAGATCACACACACACAGAATTTATTAAACTTTATTAGCACAGGCAGTTACACACAGTTGTAAGTGCTCACATAATGTGGAGAACTTTACATGCAGCAAGGTCCCTCATTTCTCCTCACTTCCTCACTTTCACCACATTACTCCAGCTGCACTACACCACTGTTCTCTGTAAAACTCCGGCAGGAGCTGGCAGTGAACGCTGACACAGTTGGGGATTGGTTAGTGATTGATTCCAGTCAGTCATTACCAAGCATTTCACATATTCATCATATTAACACAAGTAGGGGGGGGTGTTCATTAAAGGCAGGCCTAGCCTACCTTTAAGAGCACTTAGAGCCAGCTCACACAAATAAAAATAAAAATATTTTAATTTCCCACTCATGCTTTCTATTTATGCAGATAGTTTTAGTCCAATCTTCACTAGAACTACTTTCTATTGGATATAGTCCTGATAAAATCTGCTTAGTTGGTGCACTACACCGATGAATCAACACAAGCTACTGTTCATTCTGTTGAATGAAAATTGTAAATGCTTTGAGGAGCACAAACAAAATCTCCATCGTGTTAAAGGGGAAGCAGGAGTTTCAGAGGCTGACCTCTCAGAGCACATGAAACCCAAACCAGCTGTGTGGCTGACTCTAACTGGAGCAAAGAAAAGAGATGTTTCTGCAGTTTGGATGAACCTTTGAATCCATATTGATTTGGTTTATTTCCTCTGCATGGTGTCATTGAAACTCTTCCACTGAATTCAGCACAATATCTAAAGTTGTTTCCTCAACGTGTGTCTTTTAGAACCGCTCAGTTGCAATTAGTGCAAAATCATCTCTTTTTGTCAGTTTTTTTGCATGATTGAAGGAATAGTTTGACAATTTTGGGGAAAAAACGGCTAATTTGCTTTCTTGTTGAGAGTTTGATGAGAGGATCGATACCACTAATACATCAAGTGTTCCTCCAGGACAGTGAAGTGTATCAGAGTGGACTTGATGGGGAAGGAGAGAGGGACTCCTGAGATCTGATTAATGTACGAACCCACGTCAGACTGACCCACACTCTTACATTTCTATGAAAACACGACATCAACTACATAAAATATGAAAAAGACAAAGCATTGAACAGTAATCAGTGCAATTAATGTTGATAAGGCAGACATAATCCCTTACTAACATGCTATTCATTTTCCCTTTGTGCTGATTAATAATGCAAACACATGAATAATCACCATTGAGGTTAGTGACCGGTTAACTTCCCTTTTTCACCAATTTACCTTATTTTACCATATTTACAAAATATCTGGATAGCAGAAGACATGGAATTTGTGAAACAATAGAAGGGTAACAAAACATTTGACACCAAAATCTGACAGTTTCACTTCATGACACCATGATCACAACTAACACGCTGGTTGTCTCAGTGACTGTTCCTAAAAATAGACGACGTGTCTCCATTTATGAATCTATGAACACCGCCTTCATGTGCTGGTGACGTAAATTGGAGCCAGAGTTTGCAAAGCAGTGATCATAGGGTTGTGCCTTTGTATTGACGTCCTGCCCATGCACCTGCCTCTGCAAAAGCAAGTCAGTCTCTCTTAGAGCATCACCACCAGGGGGAGATAGAGATGCTACAGACTTCATGTCGTCCATCTTTTTATACAGTCACTGAGTATCTATCAAAAAAACCATAACCTGAACTGACTATGATGAGACATTTTGGTCAGTTATTACACAAATACGTATGATTTCAGTTTGTACTGATGTGTGTCATCATTTTTAGTGTACCAGTGTCGAAATACTCTGTCAACGGCTTGATGAGAATCATATTCTCTGGTCATTTGTCCAGTACATCTGTGCCAAAACAACTGTCATATAAAAACTGGCAACTGGCATGTTAAGATAAAAAGGTTTGTTTGGCTTATACATAAGTAAGGAGTCTGAATTGTACCACTGGAATACTAAAAGTAAAAGCTAACAATTGAATACATGGTTTTAAAAACAAACTAACTACTTTGTTTACTAATGTTACTTGTTGTTATTGCAGACATTGCATGTCTGCTTATGATATCAACTTATAACTTGATGCTTTAGGGCTTTAAATGAATGTCAAAATTATTACGCAGGGTGTCATCTCACAGTTCGATCTAAAGTCCAAGGCCAGGTTTATGTGTTGGCAGGACTCTGGTCAATCAGAGCTATCTCTGCTGCTCTGTGGGTCAGACTACAGATTAAACTGAACAGATAACACATCTACATGTTGAAGCAGAAAATTAATAGAAAGTGAGATATAATTTGAAAGACCAATATATAAGTAAATGGGATATTTTAATGCCTTTCTTGAATTGAAGGATTAATCAGCAAATTTAGCGATTTTCTATTCTTATTTATTTCCAAATTTGGATTTAGATACAACTTTTAAGTGTTACTCTGATTAATTAATTTGTAACAGCTATAAATAAATAAATGTATTCATTGATTATATACTGAAGCTCTTTAAGGTGGCTCACTCCAGCCTCCATTCTATGGGACTTGTAGATAATACGCTGTACAGAACAGTAAAATAGGTAAACCAAGGCATGAAAGGACAGGAAAGGTTAGGGTTCAGTGCTTCAAACCCTGAGAAAGAGCCTTACAGACTGACTACTTTATAACATGCATCACTTCTGGGGCACCTCTTATCACTCTGACCCTCCACACCTCACAGAGACTGGTAGCCATCGGTTCTCTTTCTGCGGCTCAGAAGATACGCCACCACGACGATGACAATGAGCACCAGCAACGTCACTCCCACCGCGATGGCGACGCGGTAATCAGGCTGGTCTGCAGCACATGGGTCGGCTGGAAACAAACCACACAACGTGTTATTTGTCTCACGCGACCAGTTTTGGAGGAACTAATGAGATGTCAAAGTTCAGTAAATCAGTGTAATTAATCACCTGCCCCATTTGAAAGGCGTCATTTCACCAAGCATATATTCATTTTACTACTGTATGTATGTCTGTGACTGCCAATAGTTCAAATTAAACAGTTAAATCTAAATTAAATTTTCATTCATGTTTAAAAATAAATTAGTTTAATAAGTTTTCTGAATGCCTCTTTTGGAAAATTATACAAATTATGGAAAAAATAAGACAAAATAAATGAATGTGCTTATAATTATTTAGCTTTCAGGACACCTACTGATTGTAACAGAGTACTTTCCTATTGTGGTATTATATTACATTGTACAAGCTTTCTTTTATTAATGGATCTAACAAGCGTTTAACGTAAAGCTACATGTATTAATGAGAAAATTCTTCCCTTATCGTTTCTTATATATACGAAGACACTTACGGACGCCAAAGTCATTGGCCTTGGTCAGATTGAAGGCCTGCATCCGGTCCTCACTGACTTCCAGGTACAGTCCGTCCCCCATGTAAAGTGATTCAGTCTTGCAGGAGTAGGAGTGTCCCACCTTTGCAGCGAAGAGATGCACCGACTTGTTGTTGGCGCGGAACTGTTGCAAATCTAACAAAGCAAAGTCAAGTCAGGTCACATTTATTGATATAACACACTTAAAAACAAGGCTCATGTGCTTCCGTGACATCATGGACAATGACCATAAAAACAAATGCTGATGATCAAATATGGACCTGAACTTGTTAGACTGCATTGCACTGACAACAGGTTGGTTGTTACCAGCCACACACTTTCCAGTATCTCCATAGATAATGTCTATACAAAGCTGAAGAGACACACAAACAAGGAAGTTGTTCCTCTTAAATGCGTCTTGTCTCTGCAAATATTTGACAGTCTTGCACAACATCCACCTGCAGCTGGAATATCGGTGCACATGCAGTGACCCAATTAGCAGAGTCCAATGTTTAATCGGTAAAAGGCAGTAAATCACACGTAAAGACTGATATAAAACACAACTTACCTCCTTTAATGAAGGGGTAGGAGATGTTGAAAGACAGAGCATTAACGTAGACGTCTGCAGCACTCTGAGGAAATATAAGACAGTAGGACAGGATTTATGTGAGACAATTGTTTCAATTTCAATGAACCATGATCGAGAATATTGTCAGGCTACATTATCCTGGATGCTACCCTGGTAGCCAGCATGTTCAATTGAATCCATTAAGTGGATGCTGGAATTTGAGCTAACTCAGCAACAGAGACTTGAGCTGTGCCCCAATTCAGAGGCTGAATCCACGTTCGAAGACCAAGTAGACCAGGAATCATTGCGTGCCGTCGGTCAAATTGATTTTGAAGACGTGAATTTGGCGGCAAACACTGGAGACAAAACAGAGTCTGAGAATTACAGTTATAAATGTAGTAACAGGCTTCAACCTAGTCACATAGCTAACAGTATAAATGCTAAAAAAAGAAACAACGGGGAACATTAGTGATCGGATGACCGAGCTGCAACAGCTCAAAGCAGCTATTGATGCAACGGTAGGGCGGGGCAAGCGGTTGACACAAATAGGAAGTTCTCTGTAGAGCAGATCGTCTTACTTCGGTTCAGCCAAACCTCGGAAGGATCCAGCCCCTGATTTGGGGCACAGCTAGAATCTGTCTAATCGAGACACTATTTAAAACACCTAACAAATCTCAAATCTTCTATGTTTTCTGATGGCAAAGACCATTTAATTCGGCTATATGTTATGCATAAGACACACATAAGGCATAAGACCGATCCTGGACTATCAGGGCCAATGGCAATACTGATTACAGGGAGTTAAAACAAATTCTGATATCAATATATATTGTGCAAGGGGAATTGATGGGGCCATTGTTTATCAACTTTCCAGTTGAGTAAAGTCCAATATATTGCCCAATATTTTTGCAATATTATGACCTTTGGTATATTTTGTAAATTGAATGATCAATCAAGATTAATGTTCAGTAAAAATACTATACAACCCTAACCCATAGTTGACTTACTTTACTTAATACACTAGCTGGGTTAATGTATGAGATACAGCTTATTTGTTGATGTAATACCTGGGTTATATAATGATTTTCATCCTGACACTTATACACAATATAATGCTTCACCAGGCACCTTTCATTCAAACCTGTTAATCTGGACCGTCATGTGAATCAACCGCTAAATGAATCACACAAGCATTGTTCACACTCACATGTCATGTGCTCTTTGAACAGTCCTGTTAACCATAGTTCCCCTTTTTCAACAGTTGTTTCTGATTCTAGTTCCTACACAGATTTTCAAGTCAAGCTATTTGTTAGACCAAATGGACAAATCTATGTTGCACTGTTTAAATGCTTGAGATCTCTATTTAAATGTCAAATCAGAGTAAGTGGGTCAAAATTAAGATAGTAAAAACAAGGGCTGTCCTCATTGCCTTGTTTATCACAACATTATGATGGTGTATTTGTGGCAAATATTGGAAATCAAAAGTACCTTGTTGAACATGAAAGTGATGTAGCCCTCCTTAAACTTGAGGGTAAAGTTGGCCTTGTCTCCCACACAACCTCCAACTGCTTTGGTATTCTTCGGCTGAACAATGAAGGTTCCATTGACCTGAGAGACAAACGGAGAGAAATCAGACAGTTAGATGACCATCCTGCAAAGGAAATGTCCTGTGACACAAAGATAAGACATCTGCCCTTCTGCCGTCATTAAGCCCACCACAATGAGGAAATCAGAGCTTCCATGTGAAGATCGTCTCATTTCCTGAAAACAGCATGCTGACAATTGCATTACTAAAAGCTGAGTCAAAGACTTGTGGAGAAAGTTCTACTCATGCTAATAAATTCCAAAATGGCTTAATTAAACCTTCTTTTTTTTTAGATTTGAATCTGCCACAACATTGGCTGGACCTTTTTGGACTATGGTTGTTGGCACTGTAGTTGTAACAAATGAAACGTACCTTTGGTCTTGCCACTCGGATCTGCAATGCCATATGAGCCAACAGGCAAGTGACGTTTTTGTCTGTCATTAGGGTGTAGTTTCCTACAGTCAAGTTGGTGGAGGGAGTAGGTTCAGGAGGAGGAGGAGTTGTAGTCTTGGGGGTGGTTGTAGTTTTCGGGGTGGTGGTTGTGGTTTTCGGGGTGGTGGTTGT